TGACTCAGAAAAGAAATCTAGAAATCATAATTGACTTATCCCCAGAACTGCCAGTTTTATGTGCAACAGCAACCAGAAAAAAATATCATAAAATGTTGGGCTAATATATCAGCACAAAAGGAATTAGTAACAGGATTGAAGACGTCTGTGCAAAGTTGGCCCACCTACATCTCAAGAACTGTATGAAGTTCTGGTCTGTGGACAGATCGAAAGTTAAAGAAAGGCAAATAAGATAGCAAAAGGATGAGTGCCTGCCTTAGAAAAAGAAACTGAAGAGGCCATTCAGTTGGAGATAAGGCTGAAGTAAGATTTGATCAATCAAGCCATGAGAGAAGTGAATAAAATAAAACTTCTGCTTGCTAAATCCTCCAGTACTAGAGTACTCGGACATCTGACAAAACAAGAGATCAGTTCACAAGAGATTAAGGAGCTTCTTTACAAAGTTACTAGTAAATTTCTGAAACTTGCAAACAAATGTTGTAAAAGCAGTAAGCATTAACAGGTTTGAAAAATCAGGCAAATTCTTGGTTTGCAGGTTTGTAAATAGGCCCTAAAAGCAATAAGCATTACCATCCCTAGTACAAGAAGTACGCTGGGAAAGTACAAGGGAACAGAACACGTGAAGTGACTAGGTTTGTGTATGGTCCCTAAATAGCATCTCAATGTCACTGCTGGAGGCAGAACCTTGAGCTTGACAGCCCACTGGTCCGATCCAATAGAATTTTCCTTCTGTCCTTTTATCTTTCTTTTTACACCTTCTTTCAAGCTTTGATAGAACATACACAAAAGCTACACTCATGCTTCTTATCAGCTATGAAAGATACGGGTCAGATCTGAGTTACAGAAGACCTTCAGCATATGTTCTAGTATATCATATCCCATAGTAAGCAATAAATAAGTACTATATCTTTATGTAAAAATAAGGTCAGACTAAGGAGGAAATATTTGAATTATTTCAGCCAGTGTGACTCCTACAAAGCCACAGATGTTGTTCCACAGCAGGATCAGCTATTTCAATGAAAATGTAGCCACCTGCTGAGGGACAAAAGAAACAAACATCAGCTCCTCCAGCAGCAGATCTGCAGAGCGGCTCAAAGGGAGGCAAGGTTAGGCACATAAGTCATTCACATTTCTACTACAGCAAATCTCAAAAGGTAATAAGAGTTAAAATTGACTGGTATTCAGATGGAAGTCTTAAAAAAATTAGGGTGGCAGACAGTACCTATAGGATATTTTCCAACCTCTTCTTTTCTACGTGAAATTGGAGACACATTATAACTGAAGTATTTTGAGACCACTGCTAATATAGAACACCTTATGCAAAGGGAGAAGGTATGCTTGCAATGCTCCACAGAAGTAAATAAATACAGCTCAACAGAATCCTCACATGATTTCAGTTGTATAATGTATCCTTCATCCTTCCCATTAGCTCCCTCTCCAGTATTTGGTATTTGTTGTTAATTGGAAGGACACAGTGTACACTTCATGCATCACTACGTATATTTAAGAAATACATATGTTCTGCATTAAATTATATGTTCATACATGCATTAGTAACTATTAGTAACTATTACAGATACAGATATTTAGATTACTCCCAATTGTTGGCAGGTCATATTGAGAGCTACAACAATTTTAACGCAGAAGCATTAAAAAATAGTGTCCACTCCCATTACATGTGCAAAATATCTACCAATTTTACATTTTAGGTAGCAATACGAGCGCTTGCAAACGAGACATATCATTCATTATCACACCTTGATACCCCTCCATCTTCATACCACCCACATGCAGGCCAAGGCTTTGAGACTGCACGTATTTTCTTTCTCCTGGATGAACTCTAGAAAGCTGATCTCAGCCACCAACACATCTACAGTCTGCATAGCTCTGCTGAAATTTCCTCCTGCCTGACTGAGCATCAGTCAGTCACAGGACTGCCCATCTCCACTCTTGCCCTGCTTCTCTGCTGAAAAGCTATGTCCTCAGCCCTACCAGCTGAATTCCCACATCCTGTTTAAGAGCATCCTTTGTTGACTTCATTGGACCGCGTTCATCGACTACACAGGAGCTGAAAGAGAGCAGCTCACATACGCCTATAGCGGCGCTGGGCAGCAGCAGATACTATCAGCATTTGGAAACATCTGAAGCCAGTAAGTGATGAAGGGAACACTTGGATGCAGAGGCATTTTGTGCTTTGCTTGTCTTGAATTCTGCAGAGCTTCCATACATCAGTGTATGCAGTCACTGCATTTGCTGGATACTGTATGTGCAGCTGCAAGTCAGTATTTTAACTGCAGTTCAAAAACAGCATTAGCTTTTCCAAAAAGATCAGTGTTCCATTTGTGTGATCTAATAAAACTCGAAGGAGATGCATCATTCATTCATCTTTTCTATGATCCTTCTGCAACTCTTCAGTAGTTCAACAAAATGTAAATATGTATTTCTGAAAACACATGCCACTTGTTTCACTTAGCTGCATCAAAATAATTTGCCTACTACTCCTGGTAAATTACATTACTAATATTTTCATATCCATCCTTATTTACACAACTGAATAGGCAGCGCTTTCCCATGCCTACAAATGGGAAAGTGGAACGCTCTTTTTCGAATCTTGCAGTTGTGACAGGATTATCCAACTGCTTTAGTTCCAGATTTCTTACTACAATGCATATGGAAATACTTTCTGTAAAAAATTATTACTACAAATCTACAATCTGCAATCTAACTTTTTTTGTTTGTTTGTTTGTCCTTCTAATTGTAAAGCATACAGATGGACTCATTATGTTGAATACACTTTGTTTATGAAACTACGAAGAGCAGTCTAACGGTCTCTGCAACTCGTGTGTTCTCCTTTAGCTTTAGCTAGGTATGTGCACCATGCAGTGACAACAGCAATGACTGTCAGTAAGTCCATAGCTGATTAATGGTTTCAACATGTAAATAATTAATAAAATGCTCCAGAAAACCTTCATTACTTATTAACAGACAAAGAAGATTAATCAACAGTGAATCAAGCACCCTTCTGAAAATATACGATTGAAATGTTTTCATCTTCTGGAAAAGGTCAGAAGAACTATGATGAAGAAAATAGTTCAGAAGAAGGCTGTGTAGGTAATTCAGTGGCAAACATTCTCCTGCTTGCATAATCCTCCTGAGAACAATCCCAGTGAAATGAGTATCACAAATAAAGACTGCTCGTGTGATGGTGCTTCTACTGATCACCCATTCAGAGACTGGATTTTTAGATTTTGTACATTACCCATAAGGGAATGAAAAAAGAAAGTTGGTGTTTTCAGCCTGTAGTCTTGCAAGAATTCTGCTCATCTTCACCATCAAATATGCCTTTTATTTCCCAAAGAAGGCATGCAAGGAAAACACAGGTGAGGTATGAGGCACAGCCAAGTGCATCTCAGACACTGCGTCATGGCCACTTGGATCAGGATCACTCTCTGCCCTAGGCATCTAAATTAACCTGAAGCACTCAAAGGACATCGATTCACGTAACTAAACTGTATTTCTGAAAAACTGGTTTGCCAATATGACATTTTGCTGGATCTGTCCAGAACTGGTGACACACGGGAAACTGAAATTTCATTAGCCATTTACGTTCTGTCAATAAAATATTTATTGGATAAGTATGCAGGGAGAGAACAGTATTAACCTGCATCAGTTATAAATTGAACACCTCTAATTGTTTTCTAGTACTTCCCACGCAGCTGTAAATCAAGCCTTCAGCTCTCCAAAGCAACCATAGGGCTCCCACCGGTTACTCTGGTTACTCTGGTTATTTATCCATGCGTGCCACCCATCGCATGATTTTGTAAATTTCTGACAGCACGTTGTGCATCACATGACAGAATGCCCCTCAGAACTGAATTACGGATGCAGAGCACTATGGATCAACAAGGTGAGAACCAAATCAATACACTCCTAGAAAGCAGGGAGGGAGGCTTACAGCTACAAAAGAATCAAGAGTCGGAATTAAATGCTCTCGGTGTTTCCTAAAGACACGAAACTGTTTCGTACTGCTTAAAAAGCCTCCATATGCAAAATAGCCAAGATGTAACAGAAGCTGCTGTCTCTTCAACTGTTGATTTTGGACCCTGCTTACTACTGAAGCGATGTCAGAACCTCTCTACTTCCATGACGGACGGATCGGGTCCATCACCGCATAGTTTGGCAGCACCCTCACAATTCCTTACAACGCGATACAATCAAGATTCTGAATGTTTACGTTAACGACCGTAATGGGCATCTAAAGGCTTTTTCTTTTCCTCCCGATCTGCGAGATCTGGCAATTCTCCAAAGCCCTCCGGCACCACCTCCAATCACTAGGAGTAAAGGAGGCTGAAGAACAATGAGAAAGAGTGTGCGTGGACAACGGGACTTCGTCTTCGGAACCCCTCTGCCTTCACAGCCAACGGTCACGTATCGCCCATCACCACCAAGGTGACGGATCACCTCCTTTAACTTTTCCCTCCCCGCTTCGCCAACTTCAGGGCGCAGCGTGCAGCCGTGACCGCCCCCCGGCCCCGCCGAGCGACCAAGCCCGCGGCGCTCAGGTGCGGCGCCCAGTTCACGAAGGTTTCCCTTCGCGACCGCTCTCAGCCGCGGGGCAACGCCGCGGGGCCCAGCTCTTTTGCCGCCGCACCCGCCGGGAGGGCGGCATCCCGGGGCCGTCTCCGCAGCACCCGCGGCGCCCCCAGCCCTGCCAAGGAGGCGGCGATGACAGCTCCGCGCCGCGCTCCAACGACCGCCGGGCGAGCATCGCCGCCTCGCAGCGACACCCGCCGCTCCGAAGTTCCCGCCGCGCCGCCGGTCCCGCCCGGGCGCCGAGACGCGGGCACAGCCGAAGGGCACCGAGAGGGGTCCGCCCCGGGCATCCCGCCGCCCGCCGCTCCGCCCGTGCCGGCACGCTGCCGTCGGCCCCTCCGGCGCCGGGCGAAACGGACTCGCGTAGAGACGGGCATCCGCCCTCCCTCCCCGCGGCCGGAGCTTACCGGCCGCGTTCGCCCTCAGCTCCACGCCGGAGTGTCGCCCGCCGCCCCGCGGACGGCATCCCTGTTCCGCCCGCAGCCGCACCAGCACCAGCGCCGCGACGCCCAGCAGCAGCGCCCGCCCCACGAGAGCGCAGCTCGGGCAGTGGGGGGGATCGCCCTTTCCGACTGACAGCGCCGTCAGCCAATCGACGCTAGCGCCGCGCCGAGGAGGCGGGAGCGTGTCAGGGGTAACGGCCAATCGGATCACTCTCCTTCGGCGGCGCCGTTTCCGGGAGGGGGCAGCCGAGGCGGGCTGCGGGGGTCGCCTCGGGTGTAAGGGGCCGGGCTGGGCCCGCAGAGCGCGGCGGTGCGGCTCGGTCGGGCCGAGCCCAGCGGGACCGAGGCTGGAACAGAGCCTCGGCCTCCCCGGGATGCACCGCAGCCGAGGCGGTGGCTGTTGGCATCGGGAACGCGCGCGCTGGGGCCACTTCCCCAGAAGCACCGGAGGGAGGCTGAGGACTGTCCTGTCACGCGCGGGGCACGTCGTCATTCCCGGGCGCTCGCAGCAACACCGAACTTCACACTGGGGTGCTTTGTTCAGGGAAAAAAAAAAAAGAAAAAGAAAAAAAAAAAGATTAAAAAAAAATGTTTATTTTCCCGGCGGAACCCGTGCAGGCTGGAGCTGCACCCCGCAGCGCATCGCCGCCCCACCGAGTGCCGCCGTCCTCCAGGCACCGCGGCCGGGTCTCCAACGGTTGCAACGGCCGCTGCCGCGCGCCGGGTCCGCCTCGTCGCGCGCTGAGCCCGTGCCGCCCACCCCGCCCAGCAGCGCCGGCCCGCGCTCCGCGTGCTCTGTGAGGGACCATTGTGTGGTTCGCTGCCTCTGCAGCAAACGGCGGGCGTGAAGTGCTCGGAGGTACCGCAGTCCTTGGCGAACGTTGGCTCGGGTCGGGTACGGCTCCGTTAGTACCGTGCGGCCCTTAAGTAAGGCGCTGCGTTTGCTAGTGACGTGCTGCGAGGTCTGTGTCGCGTTTGCCAGGACTTGGACCAGAGGGTTTGTCACACTGACGTCTCTGAACTTCACGTGCACCTCTGCATACTTGGTTTGGCTGTAACAGCAATCTCACCAGCGGAGGAAGAAATCATCCACACGAACATCACGTTCTTCCTGGCTGAGCACTCCAATTGCTCACAACTTACTGTTGCCCTCTCATTCATCCCCGATCTGCAGTGAGTACCGCAACCAGGGGATCCGGAGGAGCAGTGGAAGAGTGAACGTAACACCAAAAATCTCTTCCCTCTGTTCCGGTCTTTCTCAAAAACAAGGTGAATATTACTTCAAAACATTTTAGAAATATGTTTCACTGCTGGTTCTTCTTGGTACTGTTGGTCTTTATCCTCTGTTTCAGCATTTGTTCGAAAAGGCCCATTACTCAGTTTTATGCTTTTCCTGCTGGTACACAGTGGTGGTTTCACTGCAGAACAGCTGCTTTCTCACTCCTCCTCCACAGAGGAGCAGGGAGAGAAAACATGATAGGAAAGTGCTCAGGGGTTGTGATGAGGATAGCCACCAGTTACCATCATGAATAAAAAACAAGCTTGGGAGCTCAATATAAGTTATTGCTGATAACTAACAGACTAGAGCAGTGAGATGATCATCCTTCCCCAGCTGATTCCATACGAACTTCCCACAGGCTGCAACTCTCCAAGCACTGCTCCAGCACAGCTCTGTACCACAGAGTCGATACTCAGGAGCAGACTGCTCCAGCGCAGGACCTGTCCCACCACAGGCTCCTCTCCACGGCCTGCAGCTCCTGTGAGGGCTCTCGGCCGGTGGCAGCCTCCTCCAGGCCACACCCACTGCTGCGCAGTGGGCTTCTCCCTGGCTGCACGTGGAGATCTGCTCTGTGTGGTGCTCATGGGCTTCTGGAGGACAACCTGCTCCACTATAGGTCTCTCTGGGACTGCGCGGAGCTTCTGCTCCATGTCTGGAGCACCTCCTGTACTCGTCTGCTGACCCTGGTGATTGCAGGTGCTGCTGTGCAGCAGCTTTTTCCTTTACTTAAATCTGCTCTGCCAGAGGTGCACCCAGCGTTGCTCACAGCTCAGCGCTGGGCCTCTTTTGGAGCAGCTGGAGCTGGCTCTGATGTGACGTGGGGCAGTGATGAGCTCTGCTCACAGAGGCCACTGCCACAGCTTCTTGCTACCAAATCCTTGCTTCATAAACTCGGTACATATGTATTTAGAGCCTGACTAAAAGAAGCATGAAGGTTTATCAATTCAACATGGTTTTCCATCATACTTTATACATTTCAGAACTGTTTCCAAAATTGAGTAACTTCTGCAATTAATCTGTTGATAAGTAAATGTTTGTTATGTCTTAATGAAGGAATTTATTATTAATGTTAATACTGGCTACTATTTATGGGCAGAATTCCTAGTTCAGTTGTACCAGAGAACAGTCTCTTCATCTGCTGAGTTCAGAACTGCTCCTGCTGTCAGGCAACCTGACAGTCATGTCCTTTCCTTGCATAGCAACATTCTAATGTAAGTTTTATTATGTTGAAGCTGAGCCACTACAGCAGTAGATTTCTTTTTCTCCCTTTCTTTATCTGTTTTCCCATTTTTGGTTGCAGTTATACATTTGGGCTTGTGTCCAATGTGAACAATGAATGCACTCACTTTTGTTTGGAAGGAACTTAGAGAACTGCTGTAAGTGTGGGGTACAGTGCACTGTGTGATAGCTCAGATATTGTTCCTCTGGAAAAATGTCTTTTTTAGTTCAGGAGCTACCCCAAGTCTTGAGAAAATTAAGTGTCAAAAATCGTATTTAATATGTATCAAGAACTCTGGCAGTTCTTACTCTTCATTGAAGCAGGAGGAGATTTTTCACATTTGATGTCAGAGAGACATAACTTTAGCTTGGAAAAAGATGTGCCAGGCTTTTCTTACTGTTCAGTTTTACAAATGTTGCAGAGCTCACTAAAGCAATTCACAGTTACAACTTTGTAACTCCTGCAGAGAAGGAAACACCAACAGAATCCATGCTGCTCTTTCACTGCAAGTAGGACATAAACTTTCATTATTTGTACTATTTAAAACTTTATCTAAAATTGTAAAGAGAAATTCAGAAATCCTGTCTGAGCAGTATTTTCCCATTAAAAGACTGGCCTCTAAAATTTAACAGCAGCTTTTTCCAAGCACATACGCAGTTCTGTGTGTAAGGTAACTAAATCATTACTTGCCAGGAACTAAACTGCAGTTCAGCTACAAGAAAACTGTAATATGTCTTACCACAATTTTTTAAAAGTGTTGAAGATCACTAAAGAGAATTTATTCTAAACAGAAAGCTCTTATATCATCTAACAGCTAAATATCCTGTTTATGAGACAAAACTTGTTGGGGGTAGGTTTGCTGTTGCAGGCTCAGAAGCACCAAATAATTACAAGCAGAAAAGATGTGAGAATGAGAAAGTAGCACTCCTAAAATATGAGGCCATACATTAAAGGGCTTTACCTTATTCTTAATAGCTTTTGAAAATTTATCAGAGCAATTAGTACATTGCTAAATTTTGTTTTTGTTGCTTGGTTGAGCGTTTTGTTTTGTTATTGGTGTATCTGAATACAGTTGCTTAGATTGGCTTAGTGTACAAAACTGCAAGTTAGCCATTGGTCATATCGAAGGTATAGTTTTGAGAAGTCCTGACAGGGCATACAGGAGCTGAACTATTTTTATTCACAGCACAAACAGTATCAGAAATACACCCATACAGCTCTGTCAGCACAAGTGCACTCTGTCCTGGATCAAAACTCCAGAGGTGACAGAATAAGTCATGAAGAATACCTCTTAGATCTTTGTTTTGGCTTTTAAGACTGCCAATTAGATGCAAACTGTGGCCAAGGTGCTAGCATTTGAGACTTTGGCAGACACTAGGATCCATGTTGATATTCAACTCCAAAAAAGAAAGAGTTGCTGTATATCCTTTTATCCTCATGTTTTAGGAGGGATTCTGCTTTGTATTAACAATCCGTATACTTTGGAAATACTCCATCGTTATCATCCAGAAGTTCTTTGTCACCTCCGGAGGTTCTCATTTAAAGAAGATGGTTTGGGCTTCCCAACATTAAGATGCTTACACCTGTTCATAGTTTTGTGTGTGCATTTTACGTTTGGTCTCTCTGCTGTCTTTTTATACATAAGAAATGCATTGTTTTTAGACATAGTCACCTTACAAAAGGTTGATAGTTTTCTAATGTAGATAGCAGTAAGTGGAATCTTAGTTTTATGTTTTAACTACATGGCCAATTGCAGACTGATTATACTAAACATCGAGTTTTCAGATTTTCCATGCTTCACCTGGTCTCTTCTCTGAGTCATCTGTCTTTGTCTCTCTCTCTTTTTTTTTTTTTTTTTGGCTGAAGTCTCTACCTATAGATGTACACGAACTGCATCATTACCTGCTACTGATTTCTTTCTATGTGAGTCACATTTTTGATTGCTAGGACATAGCTGTATGAACATGAAAATAGCTGAGTCTGTCCCAGACCAACTTTCAAAGAGTAACTGCTCTGCCTCTGCTCACACCTCTGGTGTGAGGTCCAGAAGGAGTACCAAAAAGCACAAAACCTTCTCCTGAGTGGGGCTAGGCTGACAAAACCACAGTCTAATAAATACTGCGGACATTGCCTGCTGTGGTGGGTTGGCCTGGGCCAGCTGCCAGCTCCCAAAACACCTTCGCTTCACACCTTCCACAACAGAACAAGGGGAGAAAGTCAGATGGACAAGCTTGAGGGTTGAGATCGAGGCAGTTTAATAAGCAAAGCTGCTCATGAAATTAAAGCAAAAGCGCTCTCATCAATAGGCGCTGTTCAGCCACTTCCTGAGAGACATGGCCTCCATATGTGTAGTGGTTCATTCATAGGATAAAAACCACCGATGTCCCCTTGTCCCCTCATTTTCCCTACCTTTTACTGCTGAGCAGCACGTTATGAGGTATGGCATAGGCCTTTGGTTGGCTCCTTCCATCCTCTTGCCCGCTGCTGGCCTTGAGAGTGGGGAGGGATGAAGAGGCAGCCCTGATGATGTGG